CTCGAACTTTGGTGTGATAAACCCGAATTTTTATGTGATAAACTCGAATTTTTAAAACCGGTTCCAACCTCTAGGTGGGTTTTAAAAAAAAATTTTTATATAAATTTTATAAAATTTTATATATGAAATTTTTAAAAAAAAAGCCGGCCGGGTCTATTTTTAAAATTTCATGTTATGAAAACCAATTAATTAAATTTGTATGGCCTAATATATACTTATATTTTATTTTGAGAGATTTCTAATAAAAATTTTATAACAATCAATTATGCCGAATTTTAAGGTAGCTTTTTTATTTGCTAAAATTTTAATTAAACTCAATAATTTATGAGAAAACTTTTTGAATTGCTCTATGAAAATTTAATTATATATACTTTTAGATACAGATTTTAAAACCAACTATATATTATTTATGATAAAGTTTTAAAATGCGTCAACCTAATAAAAAATTTCTTAGTTTTCTTTTCCTTTTTTTGATCAAAAATAAATATAATTTAATAAAATTTTACTAAAAATTTCAGAGTATATGCAAATTGTTATTCTGTACAACTTTACTTACTATGCCAAAGTTTAATTTTTTTAATATTAAAAAAATCAGTTGTATATTTGGCTATGATTATCAGTAGGTAACATAATTATCAGCCACCCTAGTCTAGCAAAAGTTACGTTTTTAGTAGATCTGCAGTTACTGTATTTATTAGAAAATTAATATAATAGCTGTACATAGTTTAGAAAACTTTCGGAAGCTATTGGACGAATTGGTGAACCTTTTTTGAAAACTCGTCTGAAAATACGAACTTTACATTCGAAAATTGCATCTTCATCCACATGCTGTGAGATATAACTGTATTTTACACGACTTGCACGTTCATCACTTGATGCGTGGTGTCAACCGGACAAATTTTGTGTCTCTAAATTGTTTCCAGTTGTTTAATTAAACGAAGCCCTTCAGTTGTGCCGATATAAGGATTTTGAAAATATGAGTATTGAATGTTTAAATTTGGGTTATGTGGAAAGTTTGAATTTTTTTTTTTAATACGTTCAAACACTCATTATAACATAACAGCTTTTATATTTCTTTTTGCTAACGTAAGTTTTCAAGATTCAATCAAAAGACTCACGATTCAGAATGTTATATTTTTGTGGATCAACGGTTATTATTGAAGAAAAAAAATTAAATCAAAGATTTGACCATTATTTTTTTTCTTATGTCACGTCATCACTACTAATTTATCGTTTTTTTTTTAACTGTTATAATGTCACTATTTTGCAAAATATTAAAGTCAGTGTGAATAAATAATATTGTGAATTCAAAATCGATTGAATCATCACTCAAGTAAATTTTTATTTTAATGTACCATGCTATGCTTGAATTTTGTTTTTAAAATCCTTCATTGTCTGTGTAATAAAATATTACAGTATCAAGTTTATTCTTTTTTGATCGATAAATCGATTAGTAAATTACGGAATTAGAAACTAGAAATTGCACATACGAATAGCTTGTCATCTAGCTTCAGTAATAATTAGATATAGCAAGTCGTAAAAAAAAATCACTACTGGTGATGGGACTACAGATGCTAAAAATTCAATTGCCACGCGCCGTGATCTATTAAAAAAAATTGATTCTTCATAAATTATTGAATGCGACAATTAAGAATCACCTATTTTTAGCATTATTAAAATACCGGGTTATCCGAGTAGGTTCCTCTGGTAATCAAGGAATATTTTATAATGATTTACTAAAATTCATCGAAATACAGATTTTTAAACCTTGACGTTAACCGATTAGTGAAACTTACTTTATTACATGAAGTTATCCTACATTAACATTTCTGGCTATACGTCATCCATGGAACCCTAGTGAAATTAAAATAATTAATAGATCATGCGACGGATTCACAGTACCAGTCGCGACAGAAATTCTAAGACGAATTTCTATTAATCCCAGAATGTCTCAAGCGAATATCACAGAACAATCTAATAGGAAGCATTGGATCTGGAAGCGACTTAGTTGGTGATGAACAGAAAAAAGGACATTTCCTGAAGAATAATATATAAAGTCTTACCATTGAAAACAGATTGACATTTTTCGCCAGGAGAGGCGGGAGATTGTCCTTGGTGTCCCAAGGAAACTCAGGATCTAGGGCATTTCAGAATGAAATGCAGAATTAGCAAGCAACTATGGGAGCGGAGATATGAGTGGATGGAACCACGCCATTCCTCACAACCATAGAAGAGGAAGTCACGCAAACAACACCGAAGGTCATTGTAATTTTACGTCGAGAGCTGTTATATGGCTGTACGTCAATATAATATGAGATCTGGTATTTATATACAAACGCAAAATGGGGGCGAAAATAGGATCCCCGAATCAGCATCAAATATATTTATAATAAGGGAGTTGGAGTTTTGGAAGATCATATTAGAGGGAAGTCAAAGTACAGTAGTGTTGGAGTGTAACGGGCTGCACGGAAAGTTATTTTCCGAGTGTTACGTATTTATATTTACGCTAGGAAAGGAAAACTAAGTAAATCTGAAAGAATTCCAGTCGGCATCCTCGTTATAAAAAAGAAAATATTTTTTTTTGGACATTTTCAATGTAATAAAATTACGAATTACTATATAATATATTTAATAACCTCCTGGCAAATCATCAATGGTGTACGTGAAGTTATTATATCATTATAGTGAAGCAAGCCAAAATACAAAGATATATGTCTCTTTTAACTTTAATTGCTAAAGAGCAAGCTCTACTAATTGGGTTAGGATTAAAACGTATTGAAATAAAAAAAAATTCTTTATTTTATGCTACACTTGAGTTCGTTAATCTATGTTAGGACCTCATTGAACTAAATAACTCAAATTTTAGGTCGAATTATCTATATTAGTCATAAAGTTATTTAAGAAAAATTTTTAGCTAAAAAATTATTCACTAATTCTTGTCGAACTTGTTATATTTCGGTCTTAGCTTACTTTTCTAAAACTATTTGATAGAAATTATCAAGAAAAAATTTTCATTATTACATTCCTTTTTATGATTTAGTTGCAAAACTTTAATTTGTAATAGAAGTAAAAATTTTTTTAGTATGAAACCAAAATTTTAAACTTTTTTTTTTCGAGCACCTGTGCGTTATTACGGGACGCACATGTGCGATATTTCGAATCACTTTTATACGAACGTAACAGATTCGATATAACAAATATAATGCTAGTTACATATGCCAATCCAATTAGGTCCAAGATGATATAGTAAAGATATTATCGTTATTTTGAGACGCACATGGGAGTGAAAATTTCAAATAACGCTCATGTGCGTTGTTACGCGCAAATACGGTAGTCTGTAAATTTTGTTAAAAATTGAAAATAAACAAGACTACTAAGGCATTTCATTTAAAGAAAAATCTTTATTAAATCTTGGTCAGCAAATATAATATCTAATACGTTAATAGATGTTATATTGGAAAATCGAAACACGAGTAATCTTTGGAATAATTACTTTTTAAATCATTACTTTTTTAGTAACAATTTTTTAAGAATTTAAAGGAATTCGCAGATTTTTGTGACGGGTAATCTAATAACCATAGTAATTTGAAAAGCGCGTAATTAATAATATATATATATATATATATTAAAATAACAGATTTATTTATGTAACTTATTTGGTCACTAAATAAGGTAGGAACCACATAAGAACTTGTTCTATATCACCCAAATATATAAAAGCAATTTTTTTGTGTATAATTAGATGGCATATATTATGGTATTAGCTATAATCAAATGCATATTTTGTAAAAGAATCATGCTTACTGCAATTTCATAAATTTCATAAATGTTTTCTAACATTATTGTAAATACCAGTATACATACAGTAAGAGCTCAAAAATTCAGCATCATACCATATTATTCAATAATCTCACTAATCTCTTTAACATCACTAATATCACTAATTACATTCTGATTCGCACGATTTTTTTTAGCACCTTTTTTATTACGCTTTTTCTTATCATGCTTTTTCTTGATTTTTGGATACATTGCAACTAAAGATTCCCTCATAATTTTGAA